GGAAATTTGATAGAACAACGTATGGAACTACCGAACGCTGACCACCCTCCTGGCTCATTAACTACAAAGGAACCAGCTATTAAGTGCTCCATGGGCGGACGCTATTCATACAGCCGAACGCCACGTGGAATAGAAAACGGCGGCCATCTTGTTCGCATGAGGGGAGTCAGCGGGACTTGGTCGTCGAGTGTCTGGAACTAAAATCGGACACTTGACCTCGTGAACCACCGCTGAAACTACCGAACGCCGGCTTCTTGTACTTCCCGAACAGCCAGGGGAGCGCCATTCGGTAGTTCTGTGCGAACGGACAAGGGGAGCAATCGCTACTATGAGCCAGGGGGATCCATTCGGGACTTTTGTTCCGTTTTTACCTATTTGTGAATTGACCGACCGCACACGCTGAATTCGTGGAACTGTTTTGGGCAGGAGCCGCGTGTGTGGTCGGTAAAAGGTACCCTCCACACTTTTTTAGAACTCCTGAACCGATCTGGGTGAAATTTAGATATGTTGGTCTCCCAGATCGGGGCTATCAGGGGATATGTAATTTGTGGGGATACCTGGTGGGGAAAGGGGTGTTCTGAGTTTTGGGGAAATTGTGTGCTCTCTGCCTTTAGATAATTGGTTTATTCCTTAACTTATCTCAATATCTCCCAGGTAGAGAGGAGGCGTGTAATACTGCAAATCTGTATGTTGATTGGCTGTTGTCTTTGTTTGCTGTGGGAAGTCCTCTTGCATGAGGATTTCTCATAAAAGCCTGTGTGTTGTCAATAAAATTCATTCCTGTTACACCCTTCATGAAGTCTAGGCTCATGTTTGGGGGATATTCTATTTGCTGGGAAGAATCACCTTGGAACTGCATTTCATCTACCTTATTCCTCTACTCCCTGCTGCAGCTATAATCACTCATGCTCAGCTGTTGGGAAAGGGAACAGAAGACCGCAGCACCATAACCACTGCAGGTCTTAAAACACACCAAAAATCCCCTTTAAATAGAATTCCTAAATCTTTTGGTAATTGCAGGATAAATTAGCTGAAGCCGGATGCTAATCTTGCTGGTTAATCATTGGCTGGGAGCTTTCATCCAGTGAACGACCCTCATGTGTGCATATAATATACACAGAATTGTTATTAGCCAGCCTTGAACTTTTGTTATGGGCTGGCTAATTGTGTTCTAAACACTTCTGGGTGTGAAATTATACCGTAGGTAGTAAAATCAAATATATCTGTATGTTCAGGATTTCATACTAAAACTACGCTGCATATACAGACTCCAAGCACCATGACCATTTTAAATCCCTAAAGTGGTCATGGCGCTAAGAATAATCTTTGAGAATGTTTACAAATGGTTTAAACCCAAAATTGAGTCTACAGCACCCGTCCACTCTGCGTCTTTGAGTCTCACAGTCTTGTCTTCAATGCAGAAGCCTCAGACTGGGCGTCCGTTATAGGCTAAAAGCACCAGCCAGCACACTTAGCCTATCACTAGCTTCCCATTGAGAATGCTATCCATGAAGGTAAGATGGAATCCAGGAACTCCACGTACCATATGAACGTCACTGAGATCAAGTTGTGATAGTGCCTGGATTGCTCATTTAAATAACCTGTAAGAGGATTATATTATTATGTCAATCAAGATTCTGAACATCCATAGTATGGAAAATGTTCTCTCTCTTCTTCCTGGTCCTAAAGGGGCTCTATTACTTGACACAAGGTTTATCCTTCATTATGAAACAAGAGACTTAGGCAGTTATTAAAGACTAATCCTTCTGTTACATATGCAGCCTTGAACAGCAGCCAGCCCAGCATCACCCTGACTCCCAATACCAGGGCCATCCACTAGAAGTCGCCCTCTGTGAGTTATTTTTCTTTGGCTTTAGTCTAATTCGACAATAACGACAGGTACACCATATGTTTGGATATCTTGGCTGATGAAACTTGAGTCATTAGTACAGTGTACAGATAACTATCTCCTGGATACCACAGGAACAATGCTTCATGGGATTTTGCTGCAGTATTTCATAAGGAATATCTGCTTCACCATTTAGGATTGCATTGTTGTGAAGATAAATGGAGAACAAGTCACACACTGCAACAATCCCCATCTACCAGATGAATCACAGATACAAAACCTCAGACATTTGTCACCACCACCTTTATTTTTTTTTTTTTAAATATGATTTTTATTAATGTATTTGCAACGTATTTTCAACAAAAATAGGCAAGGGGTGGGGGTATGGGACTCGCAGGTCCCTGGAAACAACAACATAAAGTATTTGCTTTTGGGCTCGCAGGCCCCAGTGAACGATGCGGACTCGCAGGTCCCATGCATTCCAAACAGCTAATAATGAGTACCTTTGTCCCATGTGTTGCACTCTTTTTCTTTTTTTTTTTTTTTCTTTTTTATTTTTTTTATTTATATTGATAATTTGTTACAGTTTTTATTGCATAACATGTGAATAGATTGGTGGGAACTCGTAGGTTTTCGACCTGCTTTACATTATTAGGTCTTGTGAGGTGCCTAGATTCTCATGAGCAAGGCATAAAATAAGATACGAAGGTCCCTAGGTATCCTAGTCCGATGGCTCATAACTTGAAAACGTAAACTATCAAAAGAAAACTAGTATCGAGTGGACAGATAGAGGAGCACATAACATTGTGTTCCGATAAAGTAATGTCAGTTTGTCGTGTAACATGTCTGAGTTGCGGGATTACGGCCGTCAGGCGGTCCCTAATTCTGTCTGCAGTCGCTTGCCGGAGTTCAGGTGGTGAGTGTAGTAGCGTGTGGGTACCCTAAGCCGTTAGATGTCGGCGTGTGTGTGTGTGTCCGTGTGGTTGGGGGAGGACCGTGTCCCTTCGTTTGTGGGGTGTATTGACTTAGCTTCCCTGTGTGACCACCACCTTTATTGATACAAAAGAAAAACAATGACCAGCAGATCCTGGAACTGACCCATCGGATCATCCACCTGCTGACTGGAGAGGTGAGGCTGCTGGGAATGGGACATTATACAGTAAAACCAAGGGATGTGTCTGGATGGTAACTGTATCATTGTGTGTCAGGTTCCTATAAGGTGTGAGGATGTCACTGTCTATTTCTCCATGGAGGAGTGGGAGTATCTAGAAGGACACATGGATCTCTACAAGGACGTGATGATGGAGAATCACCAGACCCTCAGCTCACTGGGTGAGAGGATGTTTAATAAATTTATTAGACCTATCTAGCGATTGAATATTAATATGACAATCAGTGTATTTGTTTTAATATATTTTCTAAATGTGGTTATTTTAACCCTTTCCAGACTGAGCACTGCATGTAGCCATTTAAATCCCACACTCAGTCATGATGACTCTGAGTCTGCCCAGAGTCAGGGGGGGGGAGGGGGTCTGAAAAGACCTAAACAGGGTCTACCTGCATGTCCCCAACCCCGCTGCCTTTGACTGGTGGTGGGCTTTGCCTATGTCCCAGCATCGATCACAGTGTAATTAGTGGGGACTACATTGCTAAAGCATGAGAGGGAGATCTCCCAGTAGATGGTGCTCACTAACCACCCTCTGAGTTAGGGTTAAGATTAAGTGTAGTTTAGGGTTAATATTGGGGTAAAGTTAATCCTGTTTTAGGGTTAATAGTAAGGTTAAGGTAGGTTTACTGTTGGTAGACATAGAGCTAGGGGTAGGGTTGATATAGAGTTACCAAAATCTAATTTACATTCTAGATATGTTCGACATTTAACAATCAGGACTGATACGTGAATCTATTTTTTTAGTTACACTGGATGTGTAACATTATTATAAGCAAAATGTGGGAGTCTTTTCCAATTTGTAACATTTTATTAATACTTGATGTTGTATTAGGTGAAAGTAGGATAATAAAATATAGTTTTTTTAAAGGACAGAATGGACTATATCTGTAGAACGTATACACCAGATATTGCATCCATACACTAGGGGACAAATAGAAGCTTTCACCTATATTAAAGTGTTAACATTTAAATCTTTCTTTATTTTGTTTACGTTAAAATATCCTTATTCGTGCTTTATTCTTTATTGCAGATGGGGATGTGAACAGATATGTAGCAAATGGATATCCTTATCATATTTCTGCAGCAAACTGTCTAAATAAAGAAGAAAGTAATGTGAACAACAAGCAAGAACCTCACAAAATAAATGATCGGTGGAAGACTCCATATAAATCTGTTAAACGTGGAAGAGAGGAACCCATTATTACTGAAGGAAATCTGATAGATCTGAACTTTGTTACAGCTGCAGCACACACACAGACAGATTGTCCACATGCTCATATTAAGGAGGAACCTGTCTTATCTGAAGAAGCCCATCTCCGAGGCCCTCACATTGATATGCAAACAGATCATACACATGAAAAAGAACACTTATTTACATAACCAGTATGAAAAAGTGACAGTGTGTAGCGCTAAATAATATCGACTTACACCATGAGGAACTTTAGGGATATGAAATATATATATATATTCTCCTGAATCTTGGAGGGTATAGGAGATATATATACTGTGGAGAAAATGGAAAAAATATATAGTGCACTCTGTGCAAACAGGCGTAGTGGTAGATCATATAATAGGAAGCACTCACGTGGTTCAGAGCCTATTATGGATTGGCTCTTAATCACTCTTGCCTTGTGTCCTTTAGGTGACACACACCTTCAGCTCCCAATAAGGAATAACCCTCAAAATAAAAAAGAAACAGGGGGAAATCCGCCCTAGTGTTGAAATCCTTAGAGACAACAATATATAAACATATATATGCAGGTGAAGATTGCTTCTCACCTGAACCAGAGCCTGTAACCTGGCTCTAAGTAGAAAGGCATATGAGTCCTTTTATGGGATGACTCCTTCCCTCTTTAATGGATGGAAAATGTACCAAATATACTGTTGAAATTTAAAATGGTATTTATTACATTCATATAAAATCAGTCTTGATACATACAGTATACTGGATCATACACAGACTATCAATCAAAACCAGTGATGATGGCCTGGGCCTCAATGGAAGAACTAAATCCTACAGACACTGACATTTATACACGCACAGAGCATATTCAAAAACAGTATGGATCTACTCATATTAAGGAGAAATTCAACTTGAGTGAAGAAGAAACTCTCACTGACATTTATACACCTACAGAACATAGACAGACAGAATATCCTTCTACTTGTATTAAGGAGGAACCAGCCTTATGGGAAGAAGGACCTCTCACTGGCCCCAACGTTTATACAAAGTATAAACTGACAGACCATACATCCACTCTTATTGAAGAATCAGCCTTGTATGAAAAGGAAACTCTAAATAGTCCTATTTATAACTTGGCAGGATATGTACAAGCAGAAGATACTTCCATCCACTTGTCTGCTGATAACGTACTTTATAATAAATATTGCAAGCTGCCGGAATCACATTGTGATTTCAGTAAAATTCTATTCTCTTTCACGGCATTTTGTTCTGAATGTGGAATATGTTTTACAGATGAATCAAATTTTATATCACATCAAAGGATTCACACAGGAGAAAAGGCATTTTGCTGCTCGCTTTGTGGTAAGTGTTTTACTCACAAGTCAGCTCTTAATAGAGATCAGAGGATTCACACAGGAGAGAAACCATTTTCGTGTTCTCAGTGTGGGAAATGTTTCAGTCGGATGACAGGCCTTAATAGACATCAGAGGATTCACACAGGAGAGAAACCATTTTCATGTTCTCAGTGTGGGAAATGTTTCAGTCGGATGACAGGCCTTAATAGACATCAGAGGATTCACACAGGAGAGAAACCATTTTCGTGTTCTCAGTGTGGGAAATGTTTCAGTCGGATGACAGGCCTTAACAGACATCAGACGATTCACACAGGGGAGAGAAGGTTTTCTTGTTTCCTATGTAGGAAGTGTTTTAGTGATAAGACAGATCTTAGTCGACATCACAGGATTCACTCGGGAGAGAAACCATTTTCCTGTTCTGAATGTGGGAAACGTTTTTGTTTCAAGTCCGATCTTAAAAGACATATGAAGATTCATATAGGAGGAAAGTCATTTTCTTGAACCATGTGCTGTTTTGTTTGTTTGTTTTTTTCTTTACTAATGCTTAAAGAAAATATTTGGACCAATTAAATAACTAATTTTTATCCAAAATGAATAAATATTTTATAATTTTGGTATATCTCTCCAAGATGTGCCGGATAATATCGCCTGTAATATCATGGTCGGGAATGTGGATTATTGAGTTCTGAATATGTTTTTGTTTATGAGCAGTATAAATCTTGTAAGTTGGTTAATATATATATATATATATATATATATATATATATATATATCACTATCTGCTTAAATATCGTGTTTTGCTGTGTCTTTATCACATGTATGTTCTATCATTTAAATCACAGTGGAAGCTATAACCTGCTCTGGAATATAAACATACAAAAGGACAATCAGCACAGGTATATGGGATGTACGTCTCATATAAACTGCAATAAAAACGTATTGTGCATTCTTCCATAGATGTAAAGACAGGTTTACATGTATTGCAACCAAAATGCATTATGTCAATGGAAAATGAGTTGATGTATACAGTGCTGCAGAGAAACGTACATACTATACCTCCCAAGTATCAGTGTACCCTCTTCTAAGCTGGCACCAGTTAGACCACAGAATAGAATTATCTAAATGTACTTAGATACTTTATGTATGCACCTGCATTGTGGTTCTGAGTACAGGGGAGGGCAGTGCAGGGGTTGGGAGACTGACAGTTATACTCAATTGTGCACTTTTCCAGAATTCCTAGGAATCTGACACTGATTAATTAGATCAATGTCCCAGCAGTGTGGGTGTGGAATAAGGCAGGAAAAAAATAGGTAAAGAAGAAAAAAAAAATTCTATTCACCTGCTATTTCAGCTGCAGAATGAGACACTTGTCTCAAAATGCATGTCCCTTAAATTTGAGAAACCTGGCAGAACTAGCTAATACGTCTTCCCCTACTTCTCAGTTGGTGTACAGTAGTATCTGGCGAAGATGGTGGAGCACTTGACTCCATACCTAGAATCTTGACCCTGCATATAGCTGTCAGGGCACTTACCTGTTATTTCCTCGCCGCATCTCTCCCCGCAGACAACACAGTCCCTCCTTGGCACACGATGGACCCTGCGGCATGTTCACTGCCAAGGGTGGAGACCAGGCATCTGACACCTGTATTGCAGGGATGCCAAAGTCATGGGCACTCGTTTGGCTAGAGAACCACCTGTTAAAGGGGCAGAAGACCTAAAACACAAAGACCAGTTAACCAATGAAATAGGAGAGGTGTTAACCTCTCTCCTATAAAATCCCATCCCAACATGTTTCCATTGCTACATTATACTGTGCTTACTATGGTGTTAACTTCAGTGTGTTTATCCTGTCTTGCCTAATTTAACTAGTATCTGACCCTCTGCTAGTTTAATTGTCCGTGAACCTGTGTTGCCGGTTCTGACCCCTGGTTTTTCCTGACTACGACTTTGGTTATTCCTTCGGTACCTCGCTTTGCCTCATTCCTGCTACCGAGCCTCCTCCTGTCAAATACGTAGCTGTTTGTAAACTCCACCCCTACTATACTTAACTCTGCCAATATAACCCTAGATACTTCACTTTAGACACACACAAATACATGCGTGCATATACACACACTGATACACATGTACATATATACACTCGATACATGCATACACACACAAACACACTAATGTCATTATGTAGGTGGGAACAATTTGCTAGTGCAGGCAACGTGTAGAGAAAGGTCAGTGTCTACACTATGCGAACATAACCGACACCAAAAAATACAGCATAGTCCATAAATATGTAAACAGTGAATTAGTTCTGTTGATTATCTCTGATCCAGCATATTTTATGGATGTAGTACTGTTTTGGAACGCAAAGCAGGCGGGTGACATGGTAAGTGCAGCAAATCGGAGACACATAGAAGAAAATCACCTAAAGATTTATGAAAGTAAGGAAGCAAAACTACCAAAGTCATTTTTTTTCTAACAGCTTACACTGGTCAAATAGCTGAAGAATCACATGAATGCCCAATGAAGACCCTCGTTTGAATGCTGCTTAAACTGCGGGATCAGGATGTCTGCAATCATGTTTATGCATGACGTGTTTGGTCCATTCTGAGGATCACAAGCACAGTAAATTTACCCTGTATTGTACACACAGGGATGAAGATTCAAAGTGAATGCAAAGTAATTCTCTACGTTCGGCTACCCTGAGTTTAAATTTGAAATTAATTTTAAATCCTCACTTTAGAAAATAACCCTGAGGAGGCAGGAAAGAGATGACAGAGAGAAAGAGACAGGGGGAACCTACTTAAATATAGTACTTTGTAAACCTATTTTTTCTCCTCTGAATGATCTACTGTTTATTCTATTTACATCTGGAAAAATACTTCTATATAAACTATCGTGATCTCGGTGTATATGTATATGGTTATACCCTCCCTTAGAACCGTCACAAAGGGTGCCCCAAGAGAGAAGCCTACCCTGTTATAGGTCATTAGAACGTTTTTCTTCACCATGCATTGTAGAAGTATGAGGGACAATGCATCTGCCAATATCTCTGGGGGATACGGAGATTTGGCATTTTAATTCATATACCCGGATAGATCTGGTCCTGTGTGAATCTATACTCTTTCAAAAGATAAATAAGATTGGCCTCATCAAAATAACATGGTCAGATCACAACGCTATCTTCTGGGACATAAAGGATCAGGCGGAGATGAGGCCCCATACATTGTGGAGGCTCAATGAGGACCTTTTGGACTCGGATGACAATTGTAAATATATGAAAGAAATATCAAAGCTTTTCTTTAATGAAAATATAAGCCCAGACATCTCGCCCGAAAAAATATGGTATACATATAAATGTGTTGTAAGGGGTCATTTAATCCAAATGGGTACTAGAGCTAAACGAGAAAAATGTTTAACTATAGCAGATCTGTATATAGCCCTTTCAATAGAGGCCTATGTATATTGAGACCGGCAGGGGAGATCTCAGGATCTCCCCTGTCGGCTCATGCAGAGCCGGCGCTATCCGAGCGCCGGCTCTGCTCTCAGCTTCCCTCCCCACTGACCCGCATGCAGGGAGGGAGGCAGGAGAGGACCCGGCGGAGCTATTCCCGGCAGCTCCGCCAGGTTCCTCTCGCGAGATATGAGCGTTGCCACGGCAACGCTCAAATCTCGCGAGAGTGAACTCTAGACCCACAGGGGTTAGAGTTCACTCTCCACTGGACCACCAGGGATCACAGCAGCAAGGATCCCCTCCTCCACTGGACCACCAGGGAAGGAAGCAGCAGCACGATCCCCCCTCTGACGGCTAAGTTAAAAAAACGTACTGCCACTCAAAGAATCTATAAAATATCAAATAAAGGGAAAATATCTATTCCCCTCTGGAAATCAGTGAAGCCTTTGGATATTTTTTTTTTTTTTTTAATTCTTTATTTTTATCGTGCTTTGAGTAAATAACATACAGGCTCGTGGTGCCCCAATAGCATTCCCCGAGCATAAATTTTCAGGCATAACAGTTGGAGCATTGAGATTATCAGCACATTTTGAAATGTTAAAGTAATGTTGCTTAGATCAGAATGTTAGTAAGTACGAGTTACATTAGCATGGGTTATGATTACAAGAGGTTAATATGTCTGACTTAGGTTAATAACATGCTGAATAGAACCTCATTCTAACTAGCTAATAAATTGCTTGGGGTCTGTAGCTGGGTGTGTAATTAGTGCAATTATATGATAAGCAGGCAAGTGTACAGACGTTTTTATACAAGTATCTTAGCCAGGGCTATTATTCAGATAAAGTAAAGTAAAATGCAGTAAAAGAAAGTAGAATAGAGTACAATAGAGTACCATCAGGCAGATCATGGCACATTGGGTTATCCACTGCAAGAATCAGGGTGTTAGAGACCGCTGTGTATTGCAGGTTTGACTGTAACATTATTAGAATATATGTCCCTCCATGTAGCGGTGAATGCTGCCAAAGTGTCCCTTGGTGAGGCTGCCTGCGGTGAGTTCTGCGGTTTGTGCCTTTCATGTCTTCCGTTTGCTTACTTTATGGAAGCTTATTAGTAGGCATCCTCTTCTTAGGCATGGGGATACACCCCGCAGGTCTCTCCAAGTCCACTGGATCCCGACGACACGCTGCAGGGCACAGTGTCCGGAGGTCGATATGGTCGTGTGACCCCGTCGTGGGGTGAGTGCAGGTCTTGTGCTGACCAGATCACCTTGTCCAGGTGCGGGTAGCGGTGCGCCCTAGCTGTTACAAGGGGACAGCTTTTCAAGGGGACAGCTTTTCAAGGGGACAGCTTTTCAGTGCCTTACCCCAGTGATGGTCTGCGGTCTTGGTAGTAGGAGGCTGAGGTAAGGTGTTCTCAGTTAGCGCGGTCTGCGCGGCTCCTCTCCAGTGGCCTGTGGGGCAGTTACAGCACGTTCGGCCATTTTGTTGAGGCCGCGTGGCAGTCGTCGCCCAGGAGTGCCTTATGGGTGTTTGCTTGCCTGGTGGGGACCGGGATAACCCCCACCGGTCCAAAGGGGGGGGTGAACGGGGCCGAGAGTGCTCCAGTCGCGTTGTGGTTCTCTGCAGCCGGGGGGAAAAGCAAAGCAGCGGCCGTCTGCTCCACTCCCCCCCCCCGTGTAGGCCTCAGTCTCCAAGCCCCAGAGCATCTCACCGGGACCCAGAACCACCCAATGTCAGGTGCTCTAGCTGCACCGGGACACTCCAGGATCTTGTACCACGGCCTTCCAGGGTGTATCAAGCTGAGTTGAGAGGGGATTTGCCCGATTTTAGCTAAATTCCTCAGGAGCCATAGTGACTTGCAGCCTGCTAGCATGGCCGCCCGGCCCCGCCCCCCGCCTTTGGATATTTTTATCAGAATATGTACAATTTAAAAAAATCTTAAAACATATCTAGAGATCCAAGAATATCTAGAGAAATGTGGCTTATCTACACTGAGGCCCAAATCAGGGACTTAAACCAACCAATAACGGAAGAAGTGGGACTAGGGATAGATACAATTAAACAAATAAAGTCCCAGGCCCAGAGGGATTGTCTGGAATGTTTTCTAAAATTATGAAAGCTGATTTATGTAAACATCTTGCAAAATTATTTGATTTATTTTCAGATAGAAGCAAAACATCAGCTGAATTACTTCAGGCAAATATAATATCTATATTAAAAAAACAACAAAGATCC